CCACATTTCCTCAGGGTTTGGTCGCCTGCATGTTGCTGATGACAGCTTAGTCGTGTGCCAGAATGCTTCTCCCAGCATCTTACTGCGTGTTGAGTTGTTCAAACCTCGGTGTTTATCAGTGTGAAACCCGGCACCTGTGACAGCTGCATTAACTATGCCTTAGGTCCTGGGGAATTGGTGTGAGCGTCCTCTGCCATGTAGGGCTCTGTGGTGAGGTCTGGGAGGCATCATGAGGACCAGGAAAGTGAGTGAGTACGTAAAGAAAGGGTGAAAGGTGTGGATAAAGCAGGGGCACCCAGATCTCAACAGCAACTCTTCCTGGTGGTGTCCCCAGAAACAGTGGCTTCCTTCTCCCATCAGCCTCCAAGGCTGAGTGCCAGGCTGTGCTCACCCTGCCCCCTGGGCCTGCCCCGGTCGCTCACCCGTCAGACAGCAGGTAGAACTGGCAGGAGAAGGGGATGCCCTCCACCGAGTGCACGGTCTGCTCCACGATGAATGCATCCGCCTGCTGACGGTCCACCTGGATGGTCTGGGAGCCCAGGGCTTTCTGGCAGCAGCCATAAAGGAGAGAAGGAGGGGAGGTGGATGCCCACCAGGGTCTCACTGACAATCTTTCCCTGGCCCTTTTCTCCTCTCACAGCTTCATCCCTTGTTCATCAGTGATGAGCAACAATTGGCTGTCCAGGCACCACAAGATTTGAGTTGTACCCCCAAAGTTAAGTTGGGGGTCCCCTCATAGCCAGCACCAGCCTGTTCCTGCCCCAGTCTCTCCCCATCCCCTCTCCATGACCACGTGCTTCTAGTTGGCAGATTCTGTTACAAGGATGAGGATCAACAAATTAGGTGTGAGTGTGTGTGTGTTGGGGTGGGGGGCAGTGGAGCTCTGAGGGGTGGGACTCAACTAGGATTTGTGGCCCCTCCTGCTGCAGGCAGATGCCCTGCTGGAACTAAAACATAAACCCCTGGTGGGGCTGCAGCCATGGGGAGAAAAGTGCTAACGCAAAACACGTGTTTCCAAGAAAACGGGTAAATGGCACGTGCCTGTTTGTGTCAAACACATTGCTAGGGCTCCCTGCAATATGTGATAGAAAAGACTAGAATGTCATTCACAAAGTTGGTCAAATCAGCCCCTAGTGTGTGTCCAGAGGCACGGCTTTAAAATCACATATTGCAGGGAGTCCTAGATATGTTGATTATGAAATTTTAGCCAAAACAAAAGAAAGGAAAAAAAGGAAGACCCTTCAGGGTTAAGACACAATAAAGAATATTTAAGTGTACTTGGAGATACTGCATTTCCTGATGTTAAAAAATGTTTCTTTTTCCTAGACTGAGTGTTGTTTCCCTCAACTGCTCACCTCTTAGTCCCTCTCCTCACTCCACCTGCCCCGGCTTGATCTTCTCGCTAACAAATGAGGCCTTACCTTCTCCTGCCTGTGGAAGCCCCTGTCCCTTGGCCTGGTTTCATCCCCATTCCACCCCCTTCCACTCTGTAGTTATCTCTTCCCCCACCTCAGCATTCTCCTGCCCCTTCTAGTTTTCCCCAGGCCAAGTCCACGCCCACCCCACCCCCCGCCCCCGCCCTGCCGGAGATCCCTCACATAGGTGCAATAGCAGAATTTGCCCTCCATGTCCAAGGCCAGGAAGCGGGCATTACTGGGCACCATCTGCCTCCAGGCCATCACCCTCAGCAGCAGCAGGTTGGCAGCCTGGGAGATGAAGCCCGCAGTTGAGTGCCAGGGGAAGAATGTCACTTCGTTCCTCACTTCCTGTTCAGGACAAAAATGTGTTAGGAACATAGAGCCAAAAAGGGACAGGGAGGGTGGGCAAGCCAGGTGTTGGGCATACAGTCCTCACTGAGCCCCCACTCCAGGTTCTGATGCAATTTGGCCTCCTGGTGTCCAGAGGATATGGAGGACGGTCCCCACCTGGCTCCCACCCTCACCTCACCCTCCTTGATACTTCTGGTCATGGCCAGCTGGTCCCCCTGCTTCAGCAAACTCGTCTTCTGCTCCATGGGGAGGATGTGGAACTGAGGGCCAGAGCATGGAGAGGAGAATCAGGGACTCCCAGGATTGTATACGAATGTCCCCCTCCCCCACCAAAGGCCACCTTATCCATTCTCCTTTATAAGTGAGAAAACCAAGGGGAGATTTGGATAGAAAACCTTCCATGTGCAGGAAAGCCCAAGAATAGAAGTCATGTGATGGTGCAGAATAAAGTTAAAAAGCAAATATACTTCAAATACAGGCTTTCAAAGACGGGGATGGTTTGTGTGGGAAGGTTTTAGGCAAAAGGGGCTTCCACAGTGTAAGCAGGTCACGTTCCAGAAGTTAATGACGTGGCTGGGGCGGTTGTGAGGGGCACAGAGCAGGAGAGTTTGGAGGCAGGTGGTGACAGGCCCTTAGGAAAGGTCAGGTTCTGGGAAAGGTCAGCCAGCGTGGCCCTAGGAGATGCCCGGCTCTCAGGCTGGAGGGGTCCAGCTGGGCTGGACCCAGCGTTTGTGTATTAGAAGGTCCTCAGAAGCAACCTGCTGCTGGCTTCCTGTTCCCTGGATGGATGTTTCCCAGGCTTTTGTAGGGATTACAGGGTAACTGAGGAGAGAGTTAGGGTGACATTCTATTGAACCCCTTTCCTTTCTCTTCTCTTTCTCCCAGGGTCTCTATTCTCTCACCCTGGATTGGGGTCAAGGTTCGGGGCTCCAGAAGTTACCTTGACGAACTCCTGACTATGTTGTTCCATGATCTCCAGGTTCCACGTGAGATAGCCTGGGGTGGAAGGAGGGGAACAGTGCCATTGAGGGAGACAGTGTTGGAGATTGCAGGAGGGGAGGGTGGTGGCCCAGGTTGGAAGGCCCAGGTATAGTGTGGCCACAGCAAAAAACTAGACAAAACTGATGCTCTTGTCCCGAGTCTCCCCCACCTCCCTCACACTCCCTGTGCCTCATTCTGGTCCCGCGGTGAAGTCCAAGGGTTGGTACTAAGCAGAGTCCTGGGGATGGAGAAGGGGAGGGGGGGGTTGCTGGAGGGGGGGGAGGGAAGGTGTTCAGCAGCAGGGACTCTACCCAGGAGAGAGTTTCCGCAGAGCATCTTGTCCACGAAGCCACGGCTAAAGGCGTGCACGAGGGCGCATGGCGACATGGTGCCCACGTTGTCTTCGTGCTTCCCACTCTGCACCTCGATGGTCAGCTCTCCCTGAGGCTCCCCTGTTTGCGAGACCATGGCCAGAGTCTCGGAGAAGAACAGCATCTGCAGCTCCTCCTGCCCTGGGGGAGGGGGTTCCGTGGGGACAGTTAAAGCCCCAGCTCCAAGCCTCAACTCTCTGACCCCCTGGCCACTAGTGTCCCACAGTCCCTACCCACTCCCTCCTCAATCCCGTCTCCCAGGCAGCCCCTACAGCAGCCAGCAGGTGAAGACACCCCCAGCGACCCCCATGTCCCTGGGCTTCCCTTGAAAAATATCAACAAATATCAACCCTTTCTGAGTCCCAGGAGAATCAAGGCTGAGAGAGACCAGGCCAGGTCTGGGCCTTCCTTCTCTCTCCTCTCCTCTCCACACTTGTGCCCCCGACCCCCTGCCACACACACACACACACACACACACACAGACACACACACACAGACACTGCCCAGGCTCACTGAGGGAGTTGAGGAAGTGAATGGCTTCAGCATTGGCCTCTGGGGGTGGCGGACTCTCTGGGGCTGGGGCCGGCTGGTCCTTGGCCTTGAGGCCTATGGAAGGAAAGGAAGCTGGGATGGCCGACCCCAGAGAGAAGGACAGGGGTGGGCACTGGTCCCTAGAGCAGACTCCTCCAAGGCTACCTCCGGGCAGGTGGTGAGGGAGAAGATCGCCCTCCCCTCTCCAGCCCCAGCGGCCCTCTTCCCACCTTTGGAATGAACTTTAGAGGACATGCTGCCTGCTGCCTGCCACCCAGTCTGTTTCCAGCCGTCTCCATGGCAACTGGGAGCTAGCTACTGCCTCTTAAAGGGCCATTACCCACTTCACCAAACACCCAGATCTTAGAGCAGTGGTTCTCAACCTTCCTAATGCCGTGATCCTTTAATACAGTTCCTCATGTTGTGGTGACCCCCAACCATAAAATTTATTTTCGTTGCTACTTCATAACTGTAATTTTGCTACTGTTATGAACCGTAATGTAAATATCTGATATGCAGGATGTATTTTCATTGTTACAAATTGAACATAATTAAAGCATAGTGATTAATCACAAAAACAATATGTAAATATATGTGTGTTTTCTGATGGTCTTAGGCAACCCCTGTGAAAGGGTTGTTCGACCCCCAAAGGGGTCACGACCCACAGGTTGAGAACGGAACTGGTTGGAATTGCATGTGGGTTCCGGGACTCAGCCCAAGCCTGAGGTACTGTCCAGCAGAGGGAGCATGTGACATTCTTAAGAGGCAGGATGATGACATGGATGATCAGAATGACCTTAGATGTTGTGGCCCTGAGTCAGACTGCCCTCACACACAGAACCCAGTTCAGAACCCAATTCGATGGCCTGTGAATAGCGCTGCAGGCTGTGGTCCTAACACATAACAGAGATGGTGGTACAGTGACAGTGCAGCAAACTCATAAACCATGCTGACTCTAGGTCAGGCACTGTCCATGGGGCCTCACGTACATGATCTCAAGCTGGAGAATAATCTTGTGAGCAGGCACTTCCCCCCTCCATTTGATGGCTGAGAAAACGGAGGCACCAAGAGATTAAATGTCTTCCCAAAGTCACACAGCTAGTAACTGGCAGAGCCAGGACTCAACCCAAGTCAGTCTGGCTCCAGAGTCAGAATTCAGAGAAATGAAGAATTAAATACATTGAACCTAAACAAATGGTGCCATAACATGGGTAGTAATTAAAGACAAAGGCTTGAAAATTGAGTTATGATGTATTCAAACCCTAGGCTCTGGGCCATCTGATCCCCACTTGTAAATGTTGGTCTGGGTGAGTGGCTATAAAAAGGGGCTCAACCTGATAGGGTCACACAGAAGAAAAACCTTGGGAGGAGGTGGGAAGATGGGTGGAAAAGGTGAAAGAAAGGATTAAGAAGTACAAACTGTCAGTTATAAAATAAGCCCCGGGGATGCAATGTGCAGCATAGGGAATAGAGTCCATAATATTGTAATTACTATGTACGGTAACAGATGGGTACTAGATGTATTGAGGTGATAACTTTGTAAGGTATATAAATACCTAATCACTATGTTATACACATGAAACTAATATAATATTGTATGTTGGCTATAATTTTAAAATAAATAAATAAATAAATAATCTTGCCGAAACCGGTTTGGCTCAGTGGATAGAGCGTCGGCCTGCGGGCTGAAAGGTCCCAGGTTCGATTCCGGTCAAGGGCATGTACCTGGGTTGCGGGCACATCCCCAGTAGGAGATGTGCAGGAGGCAGCTGATCAATGTTTCTCTCTCATCGATGTTTCTAACTCTCTATCTCTCTCCCTTCCTCTCTGTAAAAATCAATAAAATATATTAAAAAAAAGAAAAAAGAAAAATCTTGACATAAAATCTTAGTCAGCTAAGGAGGTGTATTCCTCACTCCCCATCCCCTCCCCCACACCATATCACTCGGGAAGGTAAACTTCAGATAGCTTTTTACTGGGTAATTATCTATCAACTGTAGGAAAATTTAGAATTATGTGTGGAACTGTTTAAGAGAATCAAACTAACAATGTTAATGTGTGGGGTTGTTTTGTGTGTGTGTGTTGCATTGTGCATATTCGGTATTTTAAGTACTTGAAATGTTTAAAATAATTTGGCATAGTGGGGTGCTTAAAAGATGAGCCTGGAGATTCTAATTTAAATCAGACCGTTGAATCATTTATTTAGACTGTTCTTCGAAGTTAAATTTTTTTTAAAAATATATTTTATTGATTTTTTACAGAGAGGAAGGGAGAGGGACAGAGAGTTAGAAACATCCATGAGAGAGAACCATCGATCAGCTGCCTCTTGCACACTCCCCACTGGGGATGTGCCCGCAACCAAGGCACATGCCCTTGACCAGAATCGAACCTGGGACCCTTGAGTCCGCAGGCCGACGCTCTATCCACTGAGCCAAACTGGTTAGGGCCAAAGTTAAATTCTTATTGGGATTGTAAAAACATTAAAACAAAAAAAATCTTCAAATTCACTGTATTTAAATGTTTACTTATTAGAATGCAATAAAAGTACTTGGGAGGTTAGTTTGTCAATCAATTGCTTTATTTAAAAAATTTTTTAAGAGAACTGAGTTCTTTTCATTTTACTTAATTTTCCCCCCAGCTTTATTGAGATGTAATCATTATACAGCAATTACTTTAAAAAAGAAAATATGGCCAGTGTGGCTCGGTTGGTTGCGCTGGTCAGGGCACCTGGCGGGCTCAATCCCCAGTAGGAGGCCTGTAGGAGGCAGCTGATGGGTGTTCCTCTTTCACATTGATGTCTCTCTCTCTCTAAAATAAATTAAAAAATATTTTTAAAAAGAAAATATGGTAATCTACTTACATATAGGATAAATAAGTGCAATATAAACTGCCTAAAGCCATTTTAATTTTAAAAAGAAGACCATTTAGTAATCAAAGCCCCCTTAGAGGTTATTAATAGTCATTAGATTTGTAATTAGAATGATATGACTGGTAATTGAACTTAAAAATTTTTGAAATGCTTATGTTTTAAAATATGCATTTTAAGAAAGTGAGCATTAATTTTTAAAAGCCAAAGTGATTTATGAATAAGCCTCTCTCTGCACGTGAGCCATCAGTGGCGGTAGGAAAACTCACAGTTGCTTTGGAAAGCAGTTTATTAGTTCCTCAAAAAGTTAAACATGGAGTTACTGCATGACTTAGCAATTCCACTCCTAGGTATATACCCAAGAGCATTGAAAACATGTCTATGCAGCCGAAACCGGTTTGGCTCAGTGGATGGAGCGTCGGCCTGTGGACTGAAGGGTCCCAGGTTCGATTCCGGTCAAGGGCATGTACCTGGGTTGTGGGCACATCCCCGGTGGGAGGTGTGCAGGAGGCAGCTGATCAATGTTTCTCTCTCATCGATGTTTCTGACTCTCTGTCTCTCTCCCTTCCTCTCTGTGAAAAATCAATAAAATATATTTTTTTAAAAAAAGAAAACATGTCTATGCAAAAACTTGTACACAGATGTTCATAGCACCATTATTTATAATAGTCAAAAAGTGAAAGCAACCCAACTATCCATCAGCTGATGAATGGATAAGCAAAATGTGGTGTATAAATGCAATGGGATATTACTTAGCCATGAAGGAATAAAGTGCTGATACATGCTAAATGGATGAACCTTGAAATCATATTGAGTAAAAGAAACCAGTCACAAAAGACCACATATTTATGATTCTATTTATATGGCATGTCCAGAATAGACAAATCTAGAGACAGAAAGTAGATCAGTGGTTGCATAGTTGGGGGTGGAGTGGAGGCATGGAGGCAGGGAGTGACATTAAATGGGCACAGGGTTTCTATCTGAGATGATGAAAATGTTCTAAAATTAGATGGTGGCCATGGCCAGAAAACCGTGCCTGTACTAAAAACTACTGAATCGTGCACTTTTTAAAAGGGTGAATTTTGTGTTATGTAAATTATATCTCAAAGTTGTTACCAAAAAAAAATAGAGGATTTAAATAAAATCTAAAAAAAAGTAAACCCTATTGGTTTCATATGCAAATCACATAAAGTTTTTTTTTTCTATTTTTTTTTCCAAACACCTTGGAGGCCATATGTCTACCTCCTTTTCTTCTTCTTTATAATTAACTAGAGGCCTGCCTGGTGCATGAAAATTCATGCACTGGAGGGGGGGGGACCCTCAGCCCTGCCTGCTCCCTCTCACAGTCCGGGAGCCCTCAGGGGCAGGAGGCGACCCAGCGATCAGGGGAAGGAGATGCCCCATCACACCTCTGCTGCTGCCACTGCCAGCAGCGCAAGCCTCGGTTGGCCCTGGTTACCTGAGCCTCAGGCGGCCCTGGGTGGCTGGGGGGCTGAGGAAACTGGGGAACTCCAGAGGTAGGCATGTGGGGCTGAATACCACAATCTTGTGGCTGTGGGTACCACCATCTTTGAGGCGGGGCAGTCAATTAGCATATTCTCTCTTTATTAGATAGGATTATAGCATCAAAAATCTGATATAGAATTTTCCAAGGTGACTTCATATGCCTTTTCTCATCAGACTCTCCTAATAGTAAGTGGAATTGTTAGTGAAGGGTTATGACTTTGCTGCTTTGCATCACTTCTGGTATCAGACCTCCTGGTCCTTTGGGGGACTCTTTCCCTGCTCTCAATGCACAGTGTTTCAGTTGGGTATGACACTGCCCTTCCAGGTATAGTCATGTGACCTATTTGGCCAGTCAGAGAGGTCCAGATACCTTATCCCTATGGTTGGTTCAGGGTTGGTCACATGACCCCAAGGTTCTGCTAAATGGTATGAACTAGTAGCCTGGAACTTCTAGAGATATCTTGCTGCTGCAGGGAGAAAGCCTGACAGAGAACCATACCAATACAGAAGAAAGCAGATCTGAATGGTGATGATACTGTTCATATTCATGCCTGAACTTACCATGACATAATCCTATTCTTCTCCATTTCATGAGCTGATAAATTTCCCTTTTGGTCTACGCTCCTTTCTGCTAAGTATTTGTCATTTGTCCTTGAAAAGGTTCTGACTCACTCATGCTTGTCATCTCCATTGGAAACTGAGGTCAGCGAAGTGACTTATCTAAGGCCACTTGGATGTTGAGTGACAGAGCTGGGATTAGAACTCAGGTCTCAAAGCCCAGTGACACCTGCTGTCCTATAAGCAAGGAACAAGTGGCCTGGTTGCTACCAGTCAGTTCCAGCTCTGGGAGAAGCATGTGTCATCATTCAGGA